GTCTGCCTGAAACAGAGTCCCCATGTATTATTCAGGGATAGTTCCATCATTGTCTGAACTGCTGCTGTACCCCCCCCCCCCCCCCGCTTTTTTTCTTCCTGGAAACAACAAGCTCTATGTTCACTGCTTAACGAGGCCTCATGTATTTGTTGACACACCTTCTCGATCTTTTCAGAAACAACGCCCGAAATAGGAACACCGGTTGATCTTATTCATCATCTGATGTGAAAAAACTGTGCTCTTCCATCTCCACAGGTTAAGAAATAAAAAGACAAACGGGGAATAGAGTTAATCTTTCATCCCTGAAGGCCGTGGGTACGACACACACAGGAGCAGAGTCAAAGTCCAAACAGACCATCAATCGGTCACATGAGCCCGACATGGAATGATCGGAGGAGGCACGTTCTGAACATCTGATGGATTAGAGAAGTTTGACATGAGGAACAGGAAGCTGCAGGAATTACCAAAAGAAAATCCTTTGTTTCAGAAAAAGTACCTTTAAGAGCAAACCAGTTGTTGTTTTTGAATCATGAAAGAATTCAAGGTGACCGTGTTAAAATGAGACTTCACAACAAGTGAACAGCTGTATTCATCATATTCTCTCTTTTGCTTTCAATGAAGATGGTCGCTCTCACCCTCTCTCCCTCCCTCCTGCTCTTTGCTCTCTTGTCCTGTCAACCTCCTCAGAGCCTCTCTTTACACACCCTCCAAATCAAAAATGATCATGGATTAGGTCAGCTGCTCTCTCAGTGCAATTGATACAATTTTTCCACCAGACGACAGGGTGCTGGAGAGCCCTCATGTCCTAAACGGACACATGCAGCTGTGTATGCCATGGATTCCTGGGGGCAGTGGAAGATGATGTATCTGTGCTGTCCGTGGAGGACGTAGACGATGTGTACATTATTGGATTTATGATAACAGGGTTTCTGCTTTTTGGAATACCAACAAATTAGGAAGACGTCGGCAGCAGTTTCAGCCATGGTAAAGCTGCCAGCCTTATGTGAAGGATTATTTCATGCCTTGGGCTCTCAGACTCATATTTTTAACAAGGTCATCCGCAAGCTGGACACGATTTCTGAGAACTATGGGCCACTTGCAGCTCCTGGAACGCGCCGGTATGAAGGATTCCACCTTGGAGAATGCTAACGAGCACGGACCAGGCAGAATGTCCACAAATCCAGCTGTTTGGATTCGCCATTGAGTGTGCCAGCAGAACTGAAGGCAGACAGAAATCAGAATCTGCCTGCCCAAAACAGTTGTTTATCTGAATTTGGCCTCCCCGCTATCCTTGGACAGGCCAACTTATCTCAAACTGCTCCTGGAGGACATTTAAACTAGAAGATCTGCCTGACCAAACCCTCTCCTGAGGACATCTGTGGCTTGATCAGAATTGTGACGCTGATAGACCCTGTACCATCTTATCAGAACTTTGGAACTTTCTGGACTGTCTATGGACAACTCACCGCCTTTGTTGACCTCTATGCATAAATGTATTATGTATTATGATGTCATTGTATGTTGCTGTTTTATGTTGCGAGGTCTTTTTTTTCATCTTTTACACTGTGTCCATGCCAGGACCTGGAGTGAGACATGATTTTTTTTTTTTTTTTACCTCCTCCATCCTCATGTTCTTTTTTTCTCATCTTCCTGTATATTGTATGTAACAGGTCTCTCTTGTAAATGAGTATTAGAGGCTCAATGCGAACTAACCTGTACAGATAAAGGTCTAATAATAATAATAATAATAATAATAATACAGATGTGATCTGGAACTGTTGTCCTACAAAAAAGCATTGTGTTCTACTAAAGCTCTATCTCATACTATTTTCAACATCATGTAATATTACATTCAGATAAACACATTCTTGTGTAGCTAGTTTAACTGTTGGCAAAACAGGTGATTAATTCAATGTTTTTACATTCACAATGCTGACAAACCCTTTGAAAAGGCATCTGTGCTTAGAAGAAATATTTCAATGATCAGGATTTGAATATAGTCTTTAAAATCAAGACTGAATTTCAGCACAAATCATCAAAATTGGTCTAACTTTTCAAATGTTACTTAATTTATGTAAATAAAACAAAATGTTCAAGGTTGATCCATGTAGCCGTGGCTGAGGTCAGCGAGGTAGTTAAAAAGCTACGTGGTGGCAGGGCTCCGGGGGTGGATGAGATTCACTCTGATTTCCTAAAGGCTCTGGATGTTGTGGGGCTGTCTTGGTTGACACGTCTTTGCAACATCGTGTGGACATCAGGGGCAGTGCCACTGGATTGGCAGACTGTGGTTCCCCTCTTCAAAAAGGGGGACTGGAGGGTGTGCTCCAATTACAGGGGTGTCACTCTCCTTAGCCTTCCTAGTAAGGTCTATTCAGGGGTGCTGGAGAAGCGAGTCCAATCGTTGGTCGAACCTCAGATCCAAGAGGAGCAATGCAGGTTCCGTGGCCAAGGAACACTGGATCAGCTACAACAAAAAAGTTTAAATCGTGTCATCTTGGGCCAGTTTTTTTAAGTGAGAAATGTTTCGTCCCCCATTCGGAGGGCTTGGTCAGTCTGAGGCCTGCCAACCAGACTTGTCCCATACATAGCCTTCATTGCTGTGTTTCAAGCCAACCTCCTGTGGAATCTCAGAAGTAGGTTTTTAACACGTGCAGAACGCAGGGACAGATCTGGTTGGCATGCCTCAGACTGACGAAGTCCTCCGGATGGGGGACGAAACGTTTCTCACTTAAAGAAACTGGTCCAGATGACATGATTTAACCCTTTTTGCTGTTATTTACTTCATTTTGTATATTGCTTTGTGTGCTGCCTGTTTTTCTGTCTGTACAGTAAATTGGTTGGCCTTGTCACTGTTTTAAGTGCTCTATAAATAAAATGGTATAGTATGGTTATCTACCTGGATTATTGAGTTTACAAACCTTTTACTGGATCAGCTCTTTGCCCTCACTATGGTCCTTGAGGGGTCATGGGAGTTTGCCCATCCAGTCTATGTTTTTTTTTTTTTTTTTTTGTAGACTTGGAGAGGACTTTCAATCGTGTTCCTCTAGGTACACTGTGGGGGGTGCTCCATGAGTATGGGATTGGGGGCCTGTTGTTACAGGCTGTTCGGTCCCTTTACAAGCGGTGCAAAAGTTGGGTTTGCATTGCCAGTAGTAAGCCGGACCCTTCAGGGTGGGAGCTGGACTCTGCCAGGGCTGCTCATTGTCACCGATTCTGTTCATAACTTTTATGGACACACATCAAGGTTCATGCTCCATCATCCAGGTAAAAAAAAAAATCCAACAATATTCAGTCAGGTTATCTGGACAGTTTTTTTGTTGTTGTTGAGAGACGTTTCGCCCTCCATCCAAAGGGCTTCATCAGTCTGAGACGTCACAAATTGTTTTTCCCACTAAGCAGTACACAGTGGATCAACCAGTTTGATGGTGATAAGATGGTTTCTGGGGTTCTGTCCTCTCCCCCGTTGACTCTTCTCAAGCTGTCACAGCCAAAGTGGTTCAAGACGTCTCTCAACAACAACAAAAAAAAAACTTTCCAGATGACCTGATCGAACATTGGGTTTTATGGACAGAATTTCTCGGTGCAGCCAGGGGGCAGAGGGATTCCCGTTCGGTGGCCTCAGAATTCCATCTCTGCTCTTTGCAGATGATGTGGTCCTGTTGGCATCTTGGTAATCTTCAGCTCTCACTGGAACGGTTCGCAGACGAGTGTGAAGCAGCTGGAATGAGAATCAGCACCCCCAAATCTGAGGCCATGGTCCTCAGTTGGATAAGGATGGATTGTTCTCTTCAGGTCGAGGTTCTGCTTCAAGTGGAGTTCAAGTATCTCGGGGTTTTGTTCACAAGTGAGGGAAGAATGGAGAGTGAGACTGACAGATGGATTGGTGCAGAGTCTGCATCATTAGATTCTTTGCTGGTCTGTTGTGGTGACGAGAGAGCTGAGCTGTAAGGCAAAGCTCTGTTTACCGGTCAGTCTACGTTCGTACTCTCACCTATGGTCATGAACTCTGGGGTAGTGACTGAAAGAATGAGATTGTGGATACAAACAGTTGAAATGAGTTTCCTCCGCAGGGTAGCTGGACTCTCCCTTAGAGATAGGGTGAAAAGTTCAGTTATCCGGGAGACTCAGAGTAGAACCGCTGCTCCTCCACATCGAGAGGAGCCAGTTGAGGTGGTTCAGGCATCTGGTAAGGATGCTCCCATGGCACCTCCCTAGGGAGATCCTGAGGAAGACCCAGACATGCTGGAGAGACCATGACTCTCAGTTGGCCTGGGAACGCCTTGGAGTCCTCCCAGAAGAGCTGGCTGTGGAGAAAGATGTCTGGGCCTCTCTGCTCAAGCTGCTGTCCCAACGATCCGATTTCGGGTCAAGCGGACGATAATGGATGGATGAAAAACAAACTGTTCACTTTGTAAGAAAAACTGAGATTAAAAATGCTGCATGATGAGCTTCTTTAGTCCTTAATGGCTTTAAAAACATTAAAACATATATGCAGGTTTGTCTTTGCTGCTTTAGTTTTCCCATGAAGGAAAACTAAAGCAGAATTATGACACTTATTGCATTGCTTTGTAGTTTAGACATTAATGCTGCATGAAGAGGATTAAACAGTCAAGTTACATCATGGAGATTATGATCAAGGTCATTTCTCATAATTCAACCAGTTTAAATACAGGCTGTTATTAAACAGTGTTTTCATCAATTCAGGATGAAACTTTTGTCTTTACTGTGAAGCTGATAGGATCTGCTTTAGTAGTTTATGATAAACTCTTTAAAGACATGATGGTGAGGCAGTCATGTCATAAAAAAAGAAATCAACACAAAATGTATAAGCATTTATTCCAAACAAACTACGTCATACAGAATGTTCATAACGATATACAAGTAATCAAAGTCCTTTACAGAAAAGACAATTTACAGAGGATTTCTATGGACTAACTGACTTTAAAAAGTTATTTATTCTCTGTATATTTAATATATTCTATTGCATGGACTTCGGCTGTTTTTCTTTTGGATAATTTCAGATTGAATTGGCATCAAGAAAACTGTTTATCGAGGTCTGAAATAGGTATTTAATTTAGAAACAACCACAGTTGAATCGTATAAATTCACAGGGGACGATCAGACTGAAATAATGAGTTTTTTGTATTTTACATGTGATGAATGGAACCAAAGCAACACAGACTTTGTGTGCTCAGTCTGCAGCTTCAGTTTATAAATTGGCCTTTTTGCCTCATTTAATCTACTGTTCAAAGCAGATGTGGAGCTCTGAATGAAATGTTTCACCTCCACCATCCTGAGCACTGATCAGGCTCATTAATTGTAATTATCATTTAAGTGACTGAAAATAAAACTACAGCTAACCTAAAACAAACAAATAAATCTCAATGCTCTTAGCTTTGTCTGCTGCCAGTCAGGCTGTAACATCACTGTCAGTTCTTGATTTATTGCAGATTATAAATGATTAAAATGGCAGTAAATCATCTTAACGGCAGCGGCAACTCAAACCGTAAGGTCCTGGGTGACGGAAACTGTTCATTCACAACAGATCCCTCGTTTTTATGGATTGAAACTTGTCTGTCGTCTCTATTTGAACATGGAGTTGAAGGCTCGTCCGATGATGATCCTGCGGACTTCACTCGTGCCCGCTCCGATCTCATACAGCTTTGCGTCTCGAAGGAATCGCCCCATCGGATAGTCATTCACGTAGCCATTCCCGCCTGTTAGGGAGCAGCACAGATCAGGTGTCACAGCTACTGAGCAAAAAAAAACAACTCACATGCTAAACACAAAATTTTAATTATTAAGACTGTTGCTGTATTTGTAATGGCTTGTTTGCACCCTCCTTGTACAAACCGGATTCCAAAAAAGTTGGGACACTAAACAAATTGTGAATAAAAACTGAATGCAATGATGTGGATGTGCCAACATCTAATATTTTATTCAGAATAGAACATAAATCACAGATCAAAAGTTTAAACTGAGAGAATGTATCATTTTAAGGGAAAAATCTGTTGTTTCCAAATTTCATGGCGTCAACAAATCCCAAAAAAGTTGGGACAAGTCCATTTTGACCACTGTGTGGCGTCCCCCCTTCTTCTTACAACACTCAACAGACGTCTGGGGACAGAGGAGACCAGTGTCTCAAGTTTAGAAATAGGAATGCTCTCCCATTCATGTCTAATACAGGCCTCTAACTGTTCAATCGTCTTGGGCCTTCTTTGTCGCACCTTCCTCTTTATGATGCGCCAAATGTTCTCTATAGGTGAAGGATCTGGACTGCAGTCTGGCCATTTCAGTACCCGGATCCTTCTCCTACGTAGCCATGATGTTGTGATTGCTGCAGAATGTGGTCTGGCATTATCGTGTTGAAAAATGCAGGGTCTTCCCTGAAAGAGATGACGTCTAGATGGGAGCATATGTTGTTCTAGAACCTGAACATAGCTCTCTGCATTAATGGTGCCTTTCCAGACATGCAAGCTGCCCATGCCACAAGCGCTCATGCAACCCCATACCATCAGTGATGCAGGCTTCTGAACGGAGCGTTGACAACAACTTGGGCTATCCTTGTCCTCTCTGGTCCGGATGACATGGCGTCCCAGTGTTCCATAAAGAACTTCAAATCGTGACTCATCTGACCACAGAACAGTCTTCCATTTTGCCACACTCCATTTTAAATGACCCTTGACCCTTGCTTGTGGAGCTTGCTTAGAAATGGCTTCCTCTTTGCACTGTAGAGTTTCAGCTGGCAACGGCGGATGGCACAGTGGATTGTGTTCACTGACAATGCTTTCTGGAAGTATTCCTGAGCCCATTCTGTTATTTTCTTGACAGTGGCATTCCTGTTTGAGGTGCAGTGACGTTTAAGGGCCCGGAGATCACGAGCATCCAGTAGAGTTTTACGGCCTTGACCCTTACGCACAGCGATTGTTCCAGATTCTCTGAATCTTTTGATGATGTTATGCACGGTTGATGATGATAACTTAAAAGTCTTTGCTATTTTACGCTGGGTAACACCATTCTGGTATTGCTGCACTATCTTTCTGCGCAACAATGGTGGAATTGGTGATCCTCTTTCCATCTTGGCTTCTGAGAGACACTGACACTCTGAGAAGCTCTTTTTATACCCAATCATGTTGTCAATTGATCTAATTAGTGTTAATTGGTCTTCCAGCTGTTCGTTATATGCTCAATTTCCTTTTTCCAGCCACTTATTGCTACTTGTCCCAACTTTTTTGGGATTTGTTGACACTGTGAAATTTTGAATCAACATATTTTTCCTTTAAAACGTTACATTTACTCAGATTAAACTTTTGATCTGTCATCTATGTTATATTATGAATAAAATATTAGATGTTGGCACCTCCACATCAATGCATTCAGTTTTTCTTCACAATTTGTTTAGTGTCCCATCTTTTTTGGAATCCGGTTTGTAAATGAGATTAATAATCTCAATGGATTTCTTTTCTGGTAAAATAAAGGTTTAAATAAATAATAAAAATAAAAAAATCCACACAATATTTTTCTATTATTGATAGTTATGGTGTTCATACATTAAAAACTTGTTTTTAAACTTGTGAACAACTACCAACTATCACATACGTCTACGTCTGTAGCTTCTTAGCTAGTGGAACTGTATTGCGCTGCTAGCTTGGCAGGGCGCTCGGTTCTGTTGAGAGGGTGGGGCGCCCTCGTTGGATAACGATAAGGGAAACACTGAAATGGGACAATTTTGAGGTACTGGTGCTTCTTTTCATTCAGATTTTGAAATATGCAGTCGAAAGGGCTTTGTTTACATCGAATACGTACCTGCATTTTAGAAATGTTCATCAAAATACCAGAGAAACTATTTAAACTGCACCGTTTGATAGCTCAGGAGAACCGTTTTGGTTTCATGGTTTTCACCGAGTACCTTTGAGACTGTTATGTGTGAAAACAAAACACATCTGTTGTGATGCTTTGAATGTTTTCTAAAACATTTACAACTGTCACAGCTGTTGTAGTAAAAAACTAAAGAAAGGTATTGGGACACTTTTAGCCAGGCAGTGTTCAAGTCTCCTTTAATGACTGAAATAATCAGCTAAAACACATCAGTGTAACGTTTACTTACCCAAACACTGAATACCGTCTAAAGCAACCTGAGTGGCATTCTCAGCAGAATACAGGATCACTCCGGCACAGTCCTGAAAAAACAAAAGACCATAACATAAAATCAAGGCCGGCACCAAGGCATAAGCAAACTAAGCAGCTGCTTAGGACCCCGGGGCCACAAGAGGGCCCCCTAAGTGGATTTTTTTTTTTTTAAATAATGATTTCTATATGATTCTATTTAATATTTTAAGTTCAGTTTTTGCAAATTGTTGTATACATTTACAAAGTTTTAAGAACTAATTATTCAGCTTTAAAATTCTCTTCTTTTTTTTAAACCATTTACGTGGTTTCAAGTAATTGTTCATCAATCAACCTTTATTTATACAGGTTCATTTACATTATTTAAGTATTTCCTTGATACATTTTATTTCGTCTGTTTTTGCACAATTTAATTTATTTTTATGCGTCTAAGTTATTTTATCTGTTGTTTGTTGTTGCTCTTGCTCTACAAATTATTTTGAACTTTACTGCTGCAGTTCTTTGGAACCAAAGATAATGAACCAGATGACACTTTTGCTGTAAAATAGCGTACTGGTGTTTTTTTCTTTAGTTACTTTTAGTACCACTAGATGATCTAACCTATAAGATAATGTAAACAGGGCTGTCAGAGTTGCAATGAGTTTATGTTAGGTGGTTGAATAATCTGATCTGACTGTTGATTGCAATAATCCACATTATTAGCAGAAATAGAGGGCTCCAAACCAAATTTCACTTAGGGCCCCATGGAGGCTTGGGCCGGCCCTGCATAAAATAAAACAACACAGTGCAGGAGCCTCAACTTCAAAGACTTTAACTGAAAGAATTGCCCAAAATTTGTATTAAGAGTTTAAAAAGTGAAACAAAAATACGTCTTAAAACTTTAACCAACTCACGACAAAGAGTTTGTGGTGTTTTTGGCAAGAAACAAAAACTACTTCCATCGCCGTATGATGCCTTTAAAGCTCCAAGACTGGAATTTAAATGCCTGGCATCTTTAACACTTTCTTTTCCTTTAAATCTAAAGGAATTAAACTAGATGAACGGAAGCTGGATGCTAAAACAGAAGACGAGGATCAGAAGTGAAACAGTCCTACCTTTGAGCTGGAGTGTCCTTTGTCACAAGCTCGGGCAACGTTGTAAAGGTACTGCCGACAGGAGCTCAGCCTGGTGTACATGTCGGCCATCTTCCCCTGCATCAGCTACAAAACAGATCCGATCAAATTCTGTTCACTTTACCCACCAATCCTTAATATTGATTTCTCAAACTTAAAAGTGAGTTTTGACAGTCTAACCTGAAAGTGTCCAATCTTCTGTCCAAAGGCCTCTCTAACATGCAGGTAAGGAATAGCAGCATCCAAAACTGCCTGCATGATGCTGAAAAACAAGATTTACAATCATGTTGGTCACAACTATTTCAGGTGGATTTAAAAACTATACATAAATGGCAAAACATTTATTTTTAAATCAAAACATGGAGAAGCTGCTTTGAGTTCACACCTTGATTAAATTTGTGACCCAACCTCTTCATTTAATGGGGATTTGTAATCATGCACGACATTGGCCTCCATTTTAATGACTCGTCTTACCCTACAGGTCCAGCAGCGAGCACGAGCCTCTCCATATCCAAGCCGCTCATCATCACGTACACGCCTTTGTTCAGAGAACCCAACACGTTCTTCTCTGGAACAAACGGGCGTCACGAAAAGTTTCGGTTCTTACGAGAATTGGACGACGAGTACAAAAACGTTTCGGTATCGTGAATTCTTGTCTCTTACCAGGAATCTTGCAGTCCTCAAAGATGAGCTCCGAGGTGTTGGATCCTCTCATGCCGAGTTTATCGAGTTTCTGAGCTGTGGAGAACCCCGGCATACCCTAAAGAAATAAACATTTTAATGCTACAATTTTTAAAAACTTTTTGTTTCATATTGATTCGACAATCAGAGGAGGATTTATCTCAAGGTGGAGTCAGGTGGATTTACCTTTTCAACAATAAACGCAGTGATCCCTTTTTGATGCGACTCGGGATCTGTCTTCGCATAAACGATCAGGACATCAGCATCCGGCCCGTTGGTGATCCAGAACTTGTTGCCATTTAGAACATAGTAGTCACCTAGGGAGAAAATGGTAACATTAAGACAGGCAGAACTCAGAGCTTAAATAAAGATAAAATGTAAGAGAAATATATTTTACAGAAGAATAATCCCTCTCACAGTATTAGTAGTTCAGATGTCTCCATTTAATCTCCTGTAAGATCCAGAGGAGCTTTCAGGTTTTCTGATTTGATACTGTGAAGTCTTCCAATTAAAACAAATGATGCTTTTTTTTTCTTGGACTGCAGTTATAATTTAACTGCATTCTGTCTTGTTATCCCTTTTCTTTCAAATGGTTCATGTTTGCATTTAGCGGTGTTCAGAGTTTTGACTGGTTTGGGGTGATTTTGATGGTTTGGGCTACTTTTCCCCAGCGTTTCTGGCTCATGTTCATTGTTAAATATTCAGAGTTATTAAAATGACATTACAGAACAAAGCAAAAAAAAAAAAAAAATCTTTGAAAGCACCAATCTAAAGAGTATTATGCTGTTAAATACTGCAAAGAACCCACAAAATGTACAAGAAATTCACATTTAAATACATAATAAGATGCAAAAACTTAAGTCTTACTAAGAGTTACACTATAAACAGAGAGAAAACAGTTAAAGTAAAAAATAATAATAATAATGGCTGCACTTTACTGATTAAACCGTTTCCTTATCAGGTCGAACAGCTCATCAGTGAAATGATGCCACATACAATGGAGTCATCCTAAACAGAAACACAAAAAAGTCCTTGACCTCATTAATTTAAGACAAACTAGATGATTTGCTGCAAACCTGAAATAGCAGACATTTAAAGAAAGCAGCCCCGTTCAGTCCTGTATCCTCTGATTGTGTTCTACCTTTCTTAGTAGCTCTGAGTCTCATGGAGACGACATCAGAACCAGCATTAGGTTCACTCATGGCCAGCGCGCCGACATGCTCTCCTGTCAATAACTGAGGGAAGACCAAGAATAATCGTTAGTAAAACAATCAAATCCATGTTTTACTTTCAAACCGCACAGAGCAGAGAAATGTTGGGCTCTGACCTTTGGCATGTACTTCTCCTTCTGTTTGGGATTGGCGTGACGCACCAGCTGGTTGACACAAAGATTCGAGTGGGCGCCATAACTGAGAGCGATGGCGGCTGACACCCGTGACATTTCCTCCATCACAATGATATGTTCCATGTAGCCCAACCCCGTGCCTCCGTCTTCCACTGCGATGAATATTAATAATGTGTGTTCAGGTCCGCTATACATTCCATTAAATTCTTATCATATAAACATCCATCCACATTTTAAAATACCAGCATTCATACCTGGAGCAGTGATGCCCAGCAGTCCCAGCTCTCCCATTGCTTTCCAATAATCCTGTAAAATAAATAAAAAATAGAACCACGTCTTTAATGATCTGTGTCACTGACTGTGGGATTTTAGGTACTCATTTAGCGGCGCGTTTCCACTCACCCGCAGTCCTGGAAACTCGTTGTTCTTGTCAATGTCATCGGCATACGGTCCAAGTTTTTCCACGCAGAATTTACGGACCATCTGCCTGAGCTGTGCAAAAGAAAACAGTTGATTAGAATCTGTTCTGGTGCATTTCTTTACAGATTAGGTCATAGGACACATAATTTTAATCTTAATCTATCTGCTGCATGTTTCAGACTTATAACAATAAAAAAGAAAGTCACAGTAAAAAGCTCAATTTTCTGTATTTCATAAGACTTTAATATCACATCATGAGGTCCAAAATTAGACTCCTTAAACAATCGCATCACATTTAATAGCTGATCATCTACTAAATACAACGTTTTCAGCTCGTTGGGAATCACCTTGTTTGTTTTAAAATACATGTTTCAAACCATGTTATGACCACTGGGCTTTACAGATCCAGCTAAAGAAACTGAAACCAGTGGTGTTTTTGTGACAAGTTGGAAACGACAAATTGTTAAACTGTTTATTTGTAGGTTTCATCCCTTGAGTTTTGTAGACGTGCTATGCCTGGATGATTCCTAGAGAAGAGTTTAACCTTAAAAAAACAAATGCATTTCACTGAAAGGAAGTGAAACGCAGTCATAGTCATACAAATGACAAAAACTTTGTAGGACTCTGTGTACAGTCATCAAATAAGACTGTACCCTAACAGTGGGCATCCTCAGAATATAAATACTTCCTACAAGAAAGATTATAAAATAACCCAAACTCCAGCAAAATGTCCTCAGTGAGTCAAGATTTTAAGATCATGCTTGTGTTTGTGAGTCAACCCAGATGAAAAGTGTGCACTTTGATAGCTCACAACCCACACCAGTCACAACTATTAATAACTTAATAAAGGCGTCAACTCATCTGTCCAATCAAACACTTGGTATGAACTCCTGTCTGCTTCACTTTACCTGCTTTTGTTTGAGTTTTAAACAACACACAGTGTATCTTTTTGCACAAGTTTTCCATCATAATAAAACAAATTTAATCTGACATGTACTTATGTAAAGTAACTAGTTGTTGCAAATGTTAGTAGCCTTAACTTATGCAACAATTTAACCTTTAACAGCATTTATCATTGGTAGCTCTTTGGCTAACTATGAGCTAATAAAACGTCATCACGTACGGAGGAATCCGTACGTACAAAACACTTAATTACTGGACTAGACTTGTCTTTACGTGAGTTTTTTTGCTCTTTTAAAGAGCTTTTCTACGCTCAAACCCGTCAAGTGAGCCTTGTTTAGCTAGCAGCACCTGGCTAGCTGACCTGTATCTGCTCCTCTGTGAGTCCGTTCACCACGTCGTCCACCGGGACCGCAGCTCCGGCGCATCCTCTCCTCGCCACGGCGGGGATGGACAACCTGGAGCTCAGGCGGAGAGCGTTTCTGACGGCAAACATGGTGCTCAAAGGTGATAAATGAAGATTAAAGTTGGAGGACTGGGGTTGTTTCTTGTCAGTGGAAAAGTAAGAGGTGCCACTCTGACTGGTTTTCAGAGTCCCACGCAAACGTCATCCACTCTTCTTCTATGTTTCAGCTGTACTAAACAAGTTTATTAGCAACAGCGCCGCCACGTGGACATAACTGTAAAACAAGTTTACATTGTATTCACAATAAAAACAGTTTGATAACTGATATGTACGTCAGTCCTTGGTTCTTTTTGTGTTTTTGTTTTAATTTTGAATTTAAAAAAAAATCTCTACAGAAAGAAAATTGCTATATTGAGTGTGCACACCAGCATTTGTGACAAAGAAGAAACTATAAGCGGGGCTCTGATGAAGACGGTAAAAAATGAAGGGCATAAATGAGTTGCACAGCTCATGTACATGTAAAATCCAATGTAAATATATTACCAATTGGTGAACTGAAAATAAAATATATTGGTGAGAAATTCTCTTTACAAACACAAATTTGGTGAAATCAAGATGACACAAGAGAGCATGATTTAAAGAACATGTTTTTTTAAATTGTTTTCAGGACATGTGTAGACTACCTCTTTGTGTCATGTTAGGTAAAATACAGTTTCACTGCATTTAAGTATATTTGCAGAGAGTGGTGAAGGCTGCACAGAAGACTGCTGGAGTCAGCCTCCACCATCACAAACATCTACACCTCCAGATGCAGGAAGAGGGCCACCTGCATCATGAAGGACCCCACTCACCCAGCACTCACACTTTTTGCCCCACTCCCTTCAGGCAGGAGGTTGAGGAGCATTAAGTGTAGAACCACTAGACTGAGGAACAGCTTCTACCCTGAAGTTGTTAGACTCATGAATCCCTAACCAGGATTGTCCCTAAAAAAATCACTGTAATGCCACTTGATGATATGTGCTGCTGACTATCCATGCTGCTGATCTTATGCTGCTGATTTATTTCACGCTGCTGTGTTCATTCATACTCATCTGCTCACACAAACCCATGTTCGTGCTGCTGTTGTCCGGCGTATTGTTTTTGTACCACTAGTGCTTAGCATATTAGTTTAGCGTATTTATTAGTTCACATCTTAGATCTTATTACTGTTTTTCTTTTACATTTTATACTTTTGTTGGATGTAACTGGGACCTGGTGTACACAGTTTCCTTCCACCACATGTACCACATGTGGCGCGAATGACAAATAAAGAAACTTTGACTTTGATATTTATTTGAACTTTCCCAATGTATTTTTATCAGCTTGAGCTTAATATATCTCATTATACCTTCCTTACCCTCCTTCTTTCACAAAAAAAGAAAAGTCTGCCACGTCATCAGTCTTTCATAAAGTAAAGCTGATTTTTCAAATGTAGCTCAGGCGTCAATCACTGAAACCAGAGAGATGTTAACTCTGGACTTATAAAGTATTAACTCTCATAATTGGCATCTAAAAGAGAAAGGTTAACCTTTGGTTTGAAGCCTGAACATATGACCTATAGCTTTTATAAAGATCAGAACAGAACCAGAACATCTGGTCGCAGACCCCGTGGAGTTAGAGGCACCAGAAGATCTACAGGGAGATTGCCAGCTGGTTGAAACACCCTAAAATAATCTCACTTTGTCCCAAATATGTCTCATGCACTTTTGTTTTGGCAGGATATCCTGCTCTTTGTATGATGGCACAACAGAGAAATCATAAAAGCACAGACAAATGATGTTATTGTGAACATCAAATACTTTTCCCAATGAAATAACCAAAGCAAAAATTAGAGAAAATTCAGTATACTTTTAATTTTATCTTTAAGTTCTTTATTTTTTTTACATGTTACTGTATTATTTTTACTTAATTGTATTTTTTATTATCTCAGCATTTTGTGTTAGTTTATTAACATACACTGAAAATAGTAATAAAAATACAATACCCAAAATATTTCCCATTTACGTTTAAAAAATGTCACTATTGGATCAGTTTTCAGTCCTCCGTTTTCATCCTGTTTCCTGCCGTCTAAGTTGTTCCCCAAACTTTTTTTTTTTTATATCACCAATAATATGATGCCACTTGATATAAAATTGCATGTTCTTAGGCGATTTGTTAGTTTACTGTTTCTGTAAATGAAAGAAACATTTCTCAGGTGAGACAAAAAGTCTCAGAACAAGGCGTCCATCTTTGTTATGTGTGTGTGACATTTAAAACTAAAACTACACACAAAAGACAATTTACTGTATAAACTAAATCATAAAACAGTTTTAGTCTGTTCCACTTATTTCCACATGTAAACATCATGAAGAGCTTCACTCGGTGATTTCAACCATGTTACTCTGCTTAGATCCAACAATGTTATGTGATTTATAAAAACACTATTTTTTATTGTTACAGGAAGGAAATCATGTGATCATGAAGTAAACTTTGTACGAAGTAAAACTTTTTACACATTAAATAAAGTATTTAGCACACAATAAAGGCCTTTTGTTTGCACACATGCATTTTCTTCTCTGCTGAGTCAGCATTCACAGTAGTATTATTTTCCTGTTTCTTTCCATATGTTGTTTGCAATTTAACTACTTCTTCACACTTTGCACTTTTTTTAGCCGTTCATATATTAAAACATTCAGCTCTTTCAGAAGATATGTGGTCGCACTTTTAGTTATTGCAGCTTTTATACTTTTCAAAATATTTAACTTTATTTACAAAATGTTCCCCCATAGAAATTAATTATCCCACAAAGTCCTACATAAAAAAAAGCATCGCTCCCTTTGAAATCTGCTTCAGCATATGTATGAAACTTTTTGATTTTAGTTAACTTTTTGGTACTTTTAGCTGCAAATATGCAACTTTTAACTTTCTATCTGGTCAGAAAGAATCTGTTTGAAGAGTTTCAGTCAGGGTTTAGAGCTCATCACAGCACTGAATCTGCACTGGTGAAAGTTACTCATGATATTCTCATGGCCACTGACAATGGACTGGTGTCTACACTGGTCCTGTTAGACCTCAGTGCTGCATTTGATACAGTTCATCATAATATTCTACTACAGAGACTTGAATTTGATATTGGGATTACAGGAAGAGCTCTAAAATGGTTTAAATCATATTTCTTTGATAGATTCCAGTTTGTAAATGTAAATAATGAATGCACTACATACTCCAAAGTCATGGAGTTCCTCAGGGCTCAGTGCTTGGACTAATACGCTTTACTTTATACTGTATATGCTTCCATTAAGTAAACACATCCAAGGGACAGTTCTTTGCTCGACATGTGCTAATCTGTGGTTGTGTCACGAAGGGCATCAGGTGTAAAAAAACAATTGGCAAGTGTTTGTGCGAGTTAGTTCGCTGTGGTGACCCCTGAGGAAGGGAGCAGCTGAAAGAAGAAGAGTAGAAGAGGAAGTTATTAAGGATTCAATGATTTAAAAAAAAATTGTCATACCAGCTCACATTTGCATGTTTATGGTGCAAAATTCGAACTCAGGTCCCAGATCAAGAAGCTTAACAATTAACCAAAATAAATACACAAGAGTATAAATAAGAAACTGTTTCTGAGCCTGGTGGTCTTGCTCTGAATGCTCCTCAGCAGCCTGCTTGAGGGGAGGGGCTGGAGCAAACTGTGTGCAGGATGAGTGGAGTCCTTCATGATGCGGAGCGCCCTCCCCCTGCATCGTGAAGTGTAGAGGTCCGAGGTGGTGGGAAGGCTGCTCCCCAGTCTTCTATGCAGCCTTAACCAGCCTCTGCAGAGCCATCCTCTCAGCAGCAGTGCAGCTGCCGTGCCACAAGGTGATGCACTTGCAGAGAACGCTCTCCACCACACAGCCATAGAAGTTCCTCAGGACAGAGCTCCTAAGTCCAGATGTCTTCAGCTTCCTGTGGAAGTAGAGATGCTGGTGGGCCTTCTTGATCAGAACAATGTTGGCCAATAATGTACAACCAATGTTCCCCGAGGAAGAGAAACAAGGTACAACACAAGTCAGCCCCTCGAAGCTCAGTAGCTCAGTGAAGTGCATTAGACCATGTTGCATATTTATAGCCTGGGGGTTGGGGCTTCTCTGTATACAGCAGTCTCATTGGCCTTGACAGTTGTGTTGAAAGAAACTTCTTCAGGTTGGTCTCGAGGGCACAGTCCCAATACTCATGTGTTGTACCTCGTTTCCCTCCCGCAGGGAACACTGGTTATATCCATAACCTCCGGTTTTTCTTTTCCACTGTTGCCTTTGTGCGAGCTCAGGAAGGGAGATTGTGACGAAGTGAAGATTCAACACAACTTGTAGGCTTCCTTAGATACATAACTTTTATTGATTGCAATAAAAAAGGTTAAATCTTGTCATCTGGACCAGTTCTTTAAGTGAGAAACACGACACATGTTAAAAATTGATTGGCTTTTTTGTATGTGATCTGATTATCTTACTTGGTTGTTTACTTACAAATATTAAATGCTACAAATGTTAAATCACTTACTTACACAGTTCTTTATTTGCTCTATTCATTCATACCCATCTGCTCACCACAGACTCATGTTCAAGCTGCTGTTGTTACGCCGTATTGTTTTCCATTATTAGTGTTTATCGTATATCTTAGATATTTTAGCGTACCGTTTGGTGTTCATTCAGCATATATCTTAGTTCCTCATGTACTGTTTCTTTTTATACTTTATATTTTAGCTATTGTTGGGTTTAACTGGGACCCTGTGTACGTAATTTCGTTCCACCTCATGTACCACATGTGATGCAAATGACGATAAAATTGACTTGAACTTGAACTCGAATGTTTCTGTACAATGCCCTGCGATGACTTCTGTTGTGACTTGGTGCTTTTTAAATGAACTGAACTGGATTAAAATTTTAACCTTTTGACACAATTTACTCTTTTACTACATTAGCTTTTAACTGATTTTGCTACTAGCCTGCATTTTGTTGGAGCTGTGGTAGCTTTGTGGTCAGTGCTGTGGTCTTGTAATCCTGAGGTTGCAGGTTCGAGCCTAGACTGGATCAACAGGAGCATCTGACAGCTAAGTCTTTCGTATGAAGTTCACTTGCTATACAGCTGAAGGGAACAACAATTTCAGCTAGGATTTGCTATTTTTAAATGTTAGATCTTTTGATACTTTTTAGTCAGCTTTCTGTATTTTTTTTTTGAGCTTTTAGCTAATGTTTTATTCTTTTCATCTATTAGCTAAATGTTCGGCCATTTTAGCTTTCACTGATTAGTTTCAGCCTCTTGTTCCGCACTTTGCATTCACACTGTATTGCCACAGAAAGGTAAATGTTTTAGTTTTATTAAGACTTTTCTCTACTTTTAGATGAAGAATATTTGACATATTAATCTTTTGTTTCCTCACATTTGATTTGGAAAAAGAACCTTCTTGGTTGGTCAAAATTTGACACTTTCACAGAAATTTGTCTTTTTTTTATTTCAGCAATACTGTACCTCCTGAATGTAGGTCCAGCCCTTCCCTGCCAGGACCCGGTCCTCCTGCACATTGGTTCTACATCCCCACTCGGCCGGACCGTGACATCTTTGGTTCAAAGTATTTAACAGATGCTGTTTTGCTTTTTAAATGTCTATTGACTTACTCTAATGTGTTCAACATAATGGTACTTCTTCCAGCTATTTACCTGTCAATAATGGTGCACCACAAGGCTCAGTCTTAGGTCCCACCCTCTTCACAATCTACATAACTAATGTATAGCTGATCATTCCTGATGCGTCCTTACACTTCTATGCCAACAACACAGTTGTTTATTATCAAGCTAAAACAGTTGCTATCGTGTTCCAACTTTTACAGTCTGTATTCAACATCATCCAGTCTGATTTGCTCCGTCTCAAACTGGTGCTAAATGCTGATAAAACCAAAGGGATGTTGTTTTCAAACAGGAAGTTGGTACCCGGCTTTCCTTCTATCTTATCCACGAATGTTGTTCCTATTGAGTTTGTAAGTTTGATTCTTACAAATACTTGGGAACTGTGATTGATGCACATCTCTCTTTTAAGCCTGATGTTGAAAACTTGGTAAAGAAATTTGAAGTAAATCTATGTTTCTTTTTCAGAAATATATCCAGTCTAACTGGGAATGCTAGGAAACGCCTTGTAACTGCTTCTTTCCTTCCATTCATTGTGACATTATTTACATGAATGCTCCTTGCAGATGTTGGATGCTGTCTATCACGATGCGCTAAGATACATAACCGGCTATACCAACTGCACCCTGTATTCACTGGTCAGCTATGGTCATCATCACACTGGTACATTTTCATCTTTAAGTCACTACTTGGTTTGCTGCCTTCATATATATGTCACGTCGTCAGTGCAGCTACAGCGTGCGCTAATTACCTGCAGTATCCCAGCAGTGCGGACTGAACTTGGCAAAACGTCCTTCTCTTACTCTGCTCCTGTTACCTGGAACACCTTCCAAAGAAGATCTCTCGACTTAGACCTTTCTAAGGGATTTCAAGGCAAAACCCAGTGCAGACATGTTCCTGTTTTAAGTATCTTACACTGTTTTATGTAGCATGTTATTTTTTAATATATCAATTCTTTTATATACTTTTCATTTTATATGCTTTCATATGAATGTTTATTGTTGTATTTATGTTTTTTGTTTAGTTTAAAACAGCTTTGCAAATGAGTCCTCATGACTCAATGAGACTAACCTGTATAAATAAAGAGCGAATGGATTAATGAAAAATACTACGCTAATATTTAATAATTTGTCCTGTTTAAAGTGAACAAGAAGTCATGAGAATAAATCCGTTTTTTCAGTGTTTATTGTGTCTATTAAAGTTAAAAGTCTGGTGTGTTTTTTTTTTTTTTTTTTTCATAAGTAAAGCAGAAGAACGTCTGCAGCTTTTTAACTTTGACTCATCAGCTGGTTTAAAATGTTTAGTCAGGAAGCCAGAGAGAGAGAGAGAGAGCAAGAGAGCAAGAGAGCAAGAGAGAGAGAGAGAGGAAAATGCGGAAGATGAGAAACACCGAGCCTTCGTGTCGTGTGTAAAAACCGCGTAGGAGCGCACGCCACGCCACTGAGCAGGGGTTCCCCTCCCAGACAGTCACAGCCTGCAGGAGGCTTCTCAAAGCTCCAACAGACGTCCTGAGGCGCACAGGATCAGGAGGACCCCCCACCCCCGGCAGCTTTTTGGACTCTTTGGAAGTGAAATGACCAGATTTGGAGGCTGACGCGACTCGGCTCTCCCGTCGCGCGCGCCTCGGAGCCCTGATGCCCAAAGAGTGCAGAAGAAGGTCCTCCAAGGACTTGGGGCTCTCTGGACTCAACGATCGGGCTCGTTCGGATCGAAGAACAGGCGGGAAGTCCCCCTCAATCTGCGATGAGCCCGTGATGCACGCGCCCCCTATACCCCAGGTCACCATCAGTACCCCGGAGGGGGGCGGCTCCTCCACTGAGATCCAGCTGGATGAGCCAGCTGATCGTGCCATGGACTGTGCCCTCCGCAGGCAGCTGTCCACCTCCTCCATCTCCTCCACGGGCTCCTCAGCCGTGGAGTCTGAGGATGACTTGCTGAGTGACAACGAGAGCAAAAGTAAAGGCATCATCACCTTGGAGCACCTGGTGGACACTGGAGAGGTGAGCTACCCTGACCCCACCCGAGCCTCCTCTGTAAGTCATCTATTACACTGTAATCAGGAATCTGCATCAGTATCCCATAAACATCATCCAGCTAAGAGTTTCCTCAGATTGAAGGCCATTGTAATCTGATAATCTGACGCGATTCGCAGATTTTTCCTTAAATTGTTCCGTTGGTCTTTGAGCACCATAAACACTCCCAGTAAGTGGCTCTCATGAGAAATTACTCGTTCCCACACGTCAGAAGAAGGTATGTTGGGATGATGTGAGCCCTGGAAGATGTTGCTGTCACAGATGTCTCAACTCTGATCCTGAACTGGACAAGAACCAGAACTCCACCTTGGAAAGCTTGCTGGGTTTTACTGGAGCCCCTTGCGTCATTATGGGAACTCAAACCAGCACAAAGCAGCAGCTGACAGCTAATTGTGCTGATTTATTAGAGTCGACGGCTTATGACTCCGTTTGTTTACTTGATTTATATCTTCGAGGGAACATGGTGTCCCTTTACCTTCAAGGAACACCTTGCTGAGGAAAAAAACATCCAGTGTTTCTTCTTGTTCTTGCAATGAATCATTAAGTGTCTCCGTTTTAAAGAGTCCAACAGAACCGCATTCTTCCCTCCCTTGGCTCACATGATAATAAAAGGCCTTTGGCTGAATTGACACTTTGGGTGGAAACATGTTTGCCTTTGACATTCTCGGCTGATGGATGTTTATGTCGTGCTGAAGGGGCGTTCAGGTGCATTCAAACTGCCCACAGTCTGATAATTAATGCAGATTCTGCACAGCCTAATTAATGCGTTTGTAGCTGTCGGGTGTCCTCTCTGTTTGTGTGAGCTGTGGGGAAGTAGAGTGTGACCACAGTGAGTCACCTGTGCATAATCTGCTTCTTGTGTCCCCACGTTAGACTGACACACGGCGAATGTGTGCGTTTTACGGTGTGACCACTTCTCTATAGCTGCTCCACAGAAATTCTGTAGCTCCACTTTTCTTTACACGAACAACTCTCAGCTACGAACACAACAAATTTTAGCTCAATACTTGTAAACGTGACCGAGCTATGGCCATTTTTTGTGTTGGGTAATAGCAATTAGCTGTGGTGGCCATCTTGAGTTGGGTTGACTCCTAAAGTTAATCAGTTGTATTTTGTCACTCCAGGGATTACCTTCTGAGAGTTTCAATAAAAACTGTGCGGTGGTTCGTGAGATATTTTGCTAACAGATGGACGGGGTTGATGCCAACAGTTAACGTCAAAGTTTTAAGTAAATTTACTGCGCAATGTGTTTTGCTCAAAGTATGTGTTGGGGATAAAGCTCAGCTACAACCTAAGCAAACTTTGGCTCAATATCTGTAAAATTCACTGAGGTACAGCCATTTGTATGTTTGGTCATATCGATTAGCTGTAGCGGCCATCTTGAATGGGATTGACTCCAAAAGTTAAAGATCTCTAGCTGTTTACTGATTGATTACTTCCTAAGAGTTTTGTTAAAATCAGTCCAATGGTTGATGAGATTTTTTGCTAACAGACAAACAAGCGAACACACAAGCGGCTTCTCGCCTTTATGAAGTGGAAGTTGTCCAGCTAATAAAGTCTCTCTGTGATGCTGTTAAACAGCTAAAAATCTCGTGGCTGTTTTTCTTTTTTCCTTCGGCTCTTTCAAGTGGAACAAAAATGGTGTGGTCATGTGAAAACAGCCGCTGGAAAATTAAAAACCCACACTGCGACTCACAGAGAGCACAACGCCTGCTGACATTGTGTAATAATATGTTCGAAATATATTAAAGTTTGTTTTATTTTTTTTGTGTTTCACATCCAAATTTAGTCTTGGCCTTTGACCTTTAACTAAGCACTTGAGGAAGTCAAAGAAAAGTCTGAGTCTGCACTCGCTCGTTTCTGCGTCCACACTGACACAGAGGAGCTGTGATGCGGATGGAGCTCAGATTAAAGAGGTCTGAAGTGACGAGAACAGATTGAAAGTGCACAGGCACGCAGAAAAACTGGCTCTTTGTTATGAGAAGACTCATCCTGGAATGTTCCGGCGCTTCTACGCTCAGATACGACAGGACTCCTCCACACACCGAGCCTCAGTCGTCACCGTCAGACTGCACAGCCTGAAAGTTTGGTCCAGCTCGCTCGTGTTTTTGCACGGTTGCTACGGACGACTCGGTTCAGTTGGGCCTTGTTGAGTCACAGCAGGCCTTGAGTTTCAAAGTAAAGGTGCGCCTGACAGAGCAGGAGATAAAAGAGAGGAGGGGAAAAACAAAAATCTACCAGGAAACAAACATCAGTACCACTTTACTCCCCTTATAGATGACTAATAAATAGTTTATAGACATGTTATTGATTCCTCTACCTCTATAAACACTTTATAAATCATTAATAATAGTTCATTATGCGTTAATTAAGGGTGACAGAGACACAAAACCGACCAGTTACTTGCCAAATAGTGAGCCACATCTGTTCACCTATATATTTCATCTAAAGTTGTTATATTACCGTATTTTTTAGATTATAAAGTGCACTTAAAATTCTTCAATTTCCTCAAAAATCAACAGTGAGCCTTATAATCCGGTGAGGTTTATGAATTAATTCTGGTTGTGCTTACTGACCTCGAACTGATTTTATGTGTTACAACTGAACAATGCTGAGAGTTACTGTGAACGAGTTGAGTAAAGTTTGACTTATCTGACTGTTTTGTTTCGCTTAATGCACCTTATAATCTGATGCCTCTTATAATCTGCTGCACCTTTTAATTTGATGCACTTTATAATCTGATGTGCTTTATAATCTGATGCACCTTAAATTTGATGCACTTTATAATCTGATGCACGTATAATCGGACTCACTTTATAATCCGATGCGCTTTATCATCCGATGCACTTTATAATCTGA